ATGAATATAATATACAAGTTTCACTTTTTAAATGGAATTACTGAAATCAATCTACTTTTTCATGATATTCTAATTTTATGACCAGCACCTGTATATATAGAGTGGAGTGACCATTTTTATAGTATGGATATGGGCCAGTGTGCTCAATCATGTGGTTTAACACATGTTTGACTCTGTGGGCTGGGGACGAGTGCATGCCACACTTCTTAGATATTTGATTTATCACATAAAATCATAATAAAAGAGTAGACTGGTCAACCAGACTGACTTAAGCAGTGAACATGGCATACAAGTCTTGAAAGGAACAGATAGAAGCTAATATTAAAGGCAAAACCAACAGAGTCTACAAAAAGGGGTAAGAACTATCAATCAATAACTATTGATATCAAAACAACTTCCATTCATCCAACCATCCATTTTCCATCACGCTTTATCCCAGCTGGGGTCATGAGGGGTGCTGGTGTCTATCTCCAGCAGTATACGGGTGACAGGCGGGGTACACCGTGGACAGGTCTCCAGTCCATCGCAGGGCAACACAGAGACAAACAGGACAAACAACCATTCAGGCAAACACTCACCTAAGGGGACTTTAGAGAAGCCAATTAAACTAACAGTCATGTTTTTGGAATATGGGAGGAAGCTGGAGTACCCGGTGAGAACCCACGCATGCTCAGGGAAAAAATGCAAACTCCATGCAGAAAGACACCGGACCGGGAGTCCAACCTGGAACTTTCTTGCTGCAAGGCAGCAGTGCTACCCAATGCGTCACAGAGCAGCCCCATCAAAACAACTTTTTAAAAGAAAAAAAAAAGTTCTCACTGTAGTTGATACAATTTTAAATATATGAACCGTTCTTTCTGGTCATAATAAAGTTAATCTTTAAAACATTTCTCCATTACAGCTTCAATTTTAACTGTTAAGGTTACAGAAAAGCCCTGTTGCATTATGGGCCTGCTTCCCGCGCTGGGATTGGTTTATTGTGTTTTAGACCAGAGAATCTTGAGTCTTATGAAACTGATTTATGTCCGATGTACCGGTAACTCAGTCTGGATGACCAGGCTAATAAAAGACATTAAAGTTAGATAGAGATCATAACATAATAGATTTACACCCTTTTTAATCTACAGCAGCAAAAAAAAAAAAAAAATAGTAATTCCAACAAATGCTGTAACTGATACTTTTACTTTAAGCTTAAGTGTTTCCACCCACAGATACCATCTTTACTGGACTGACTTTCAGTCCTGATACTGGAAGTCAGCGGTGACCTACTGATCTCCTTTCTTCACCGCATTCAGATCTACTGACGTCTAATCACCTGATCAGGATTAGGAGCGGGACTATCTTGGCTTTAGACACACCCGCAGCTTTCAATGCTTCCCCTAATATTTAACCTGAGGTGCTATGGAAACAACAATAAACATGGTGCCGCTGCCTGCTTTTACTGTAAATAGAGTCTACACCCTCCTAAACAATGCAAGTGTTTTTTTTTATTTTTATTCGGATCACAGCTGAGGTGTTCTGAAATATTATCCATTTTGTAATTGATAGTATATCTGTGTTCTTTGTTTTTTAATAGCAAACCACATAATTTGTGATTTAAAAAAAAAATAGGCAAATGGTTAATATAGTGTTCTGCAAAAATGCTATTTTTGTCACCTTTCTACCTCAAACGCTCAAGTTTTGTGTCCATGACCAATTTAAAATAACTGTTTAACAGAAAGAAATGTATTCGTAGTTTAAAGATAAAAATATAATAAAATTTTTGGTTTTCAGTTCCTTCTACTTTGATTCCCCTAAATACAATCCTAAGTTATTTTTATGCTTTTACAATCATGTGCTGCATTGTATTGGTCCATCACTCCGGTGTGGCCTATGGGTCATTTGAAGTCCTCTTAATGGTTATTGGTTTCCTTAGTTTAACAATACAGGCAAGTCATGCAGATTTCGTTTTTTTTTTAGCAAGATTGTTAGTGATGCAAGATATTTTCATCATGATGCAGATTGCAGTCATCTCAAACAAAAATGTTTACCATTTCTGCACCTATTAATTAAAAAACGCATAATCTAAGGAAGTTTTTTAAGAAAGAATTCGACTCTATTCACATGATTCTGCATCATGTGAACAGACAACAGTTGACCATAAGCTGTGGGATATTGGGTCAATGATTTTTTTGTTTTTTCATTTTTGTCTTCAAACAAAAAATACAAGCTGCCTGAATATACACAGACCATATTGTATGCTGTTCTTTTAATAGGACAGACTTGGATGAGTATTTTTTATGTTTTCAATCTAGAAGGATTCAAAAATCCATTTTGGACAAAAATGGGATCAGTTTCTTCGTTTAATCGAATATTGCCTGTTTATTATCAAGCAGTAGCCCGGGGAAAGTTTTAACTTGATTTTTGTTTTTCTCTTTTTTTTTTTGTGGCGGGAACTTGAGACATTATGAATCTATCATAACAAATTCTAATAAAATAATTAAACTATGTTGCTGTTACATGAAAAATTTCGAAGGGAGTTACTGTTGCAGCATTACTTTAGTTGTAAACAACGTTCTACTGTCTGGAAAAGGAAAACTAAAAACTGCCATGTTGTTTTATCTCTTTATGTACACACACACAAAAAAAATGTTATGCAACATGAATAAAGCCTGACTGTATCTTTCCTCCCTGGAGCTTGATCTGCATGCACAACATCACGTGAGATTCCTGCATACCTTCAGCCTGCTGAAACAGGCACTTTTTTATGGCGTCTGACCCGGGTCTCCTCTCTTGCTCTCACACACTTGGAAGAAAACATGCACTCTTGTCTCTCTCCTCCCTCCATTACTTAGGGCTTTAGAATGGAGGTTATAAGAGCAAGAGATCTGGGTCAGTGTGCTCAGACTGCACGCATGACTGACTGGCTTTTGATGAGCAAGTTTAGTTAGTATGCCACACTCCTAGCACATGTAAGCTTTCGAACCGTGCAGCCCTGCAGTTGTCTTGCAGATATTTGCACATAGTCGTAAAGGAGTTTTAGAGAGCATGTAAGCGCCCCTATTTCCATCTCCGACATCACAGGAGCTGTGCTCCCTGCTCATTCCTCATGAATCTTTCAGCTGAGGTATTTTTAGAGGCTGTTATGTAAGTGGCACCTGTCATGTGATCTCCACTGGGACAGGAAAGGAGAGTAAACTAGAGACAGGGAAGGGAGGAATGAAATAGAGGGGGTAAAAAAAGTACCCTCAGCAATCCCTTCCTGTGCTTCATTCTCCTTGAAGTTTCCCCTTACTTGCTTGTGTTGTGACCAAGCATCCAGTAAAGCGACCTTTAGGAGGATTCCTGAAGGTGTGGCATTGCCTGTTGAGTAAAACAAATATTTGCTTTAAGGACACATCGCTAAATGAAAGCCGGGTTTTGGGCTCCTGTAGTTCAGGATTAGAAGAGCATCAGTTTGGCTCTTTCTAATAATTTGTGTGCACACGTACACACTCGGTGTGAACAAATCTGTCACACCTTCTGGTGTTATATAACGTACTCATTTTGATATTAAATATCTGGTAATGCTGAGGGCATTTAAGGTATTAAAAGTCTGTCATCCATACATCCTCCTTTTTTTCCAATAGCAAACACTCTAAAGCTGTTTTTTTTTTTTTTTTTTACAGCTTAATTCTCAGTCAGAGGTTTGCATTCCCTCATACTGCTTAACAATGTTTAACTAATTTAGGGCTTCAACTGAAGGATGGACTTTTAATATGGCAAAAACCTTTAGGAAATTTTACCAACAAGAATTTAGTGCACACCTTTGAATTAAACAGATTTTTTTTTCATTAAAAGACATGGGATCAGAATAATAATAATACATGTAATAATACATGCGTACTGTACAAGCATCCCCAATCCTTTACTCTGTTAAATGTTTATTTACCAGCGCCAGGAAACATGTTTTTTTTTTTCGGGTGATTTTTCCACAAAATTCTGCTTGAATATTTGATCATATTGATTTAAATTACTTGTGAAACTCATTTCAGATTATTGGTTTCTAGGTACAAATATGGCTTTCAGGTTTATTCCATAAACTGCCAAAAAAAAGTTGTGATTTTTGGGTATCATCATCCTTTTGTAGCAGCTAACTGCTCAATCTCCCACTTGCATTGAACCAATAAGCGTCCAGGGTTTAATTGTCTGATAAAAGGAAACTGGTTTGTTTTTAAGAAGAATTCAGGACCAACGGGTTTAAATCTCTAAACACTGGTTTCCAGGTTTAGTATGCTTTGTAAAGTGAGTTAAACATCGTGCTGGACTTTGAGGTTGACTTTCAAGAGAAGCCCCCACTCCAAAATCAATTTAATAAAAAGATAGACCTATTTGACCTCATTTATGTCACATAGCTCCACTATTAAGGCTGAACTGAGTCTGTTGTTTCTCTGTTACCAGCTGGAGGAGTCTGTTAGAAGCTTTGAAGCTGTTTATTAATACTGCAACTGAAAAGTTCAGTTGAAATATGTCATCACTAGCCCCATATTTATAACATCTGTTCAGATTCCTAGTGTATCTGCTGGCCACGCTCCATTTAATCATTTGCAATCCAAAGTTTGTTTTTTTCTGTTTTGTTTTGTTTTGTTTCTGCTAGATTCTTTAAAATCCCCTTCGGCTTGAGGATTTTAGTGTTATGATGGAATAATTCTGCCTATTGTCCATTCAGTGACCTTACGTGTGTGTTATGTGTGTCCCACAGGAATGCTGGAGCCCCGTTTGTCTGCACTGCTGTGGATGGGATTGTTTGCTGCACTGGTACTTGTTGTGCTCATGCCACAGCCGCTGGGTATCCTTGCCCTGGTCGCAGTCACAATTCTCCGTCTGATCTTCTCTGTGGGCCTGGAGCCTACACTCTTCCTCCTAGGTGCCTTTAATGTGAGTGAAAAAACCTTGCAGTGCTGATTATTTAACTGGCTTTAGTTCAAATTTGGGATTTTTTTTTTGTTGTTGCTGTTGTTTGTTCCTGTTCTGAAACAAAAACAGGAAGATTATTTTTTTCAGATCTTATGAAGATAATTATGTTACTGATAACCCTATTAAAATCTTTTCTCAGGTTAAGTGTAAAAAGTATACTTACCCTATATTGTCGTTTTACTTGTTCTCATGTTACGGCAACAAAACAGTCTAAGAAATTACATTTTATTTTCAGATATTTTCACTGAGAAATGCCTAGAAAATGTTGCTGAGTTATGGCATTGTAGAGCTGCCCTTGTTTATGTCTCCAAGAGCTATTCACATATACGGATTTTTGCAAAAAAGCTTCAGCTTTTTACAGACTGGATGGGGAGCATCTATTAACAGCAATTTCCAAGTCTTGCCACAGATTTTCAGTTGGATTTTTTTGTAATTTACTTTGACTGGGCCATTCTAACATATGAACTTGCTTTTTTAACCACTTTATTAGGTTTATGTTTGGGGATGTTTTACTGCTTTAAGATGAACCTCATGGCTCTATTTAAATCCCAATCTTCACATTAATACTGACCAGATTCCCACAGTATTATGCTACACCCACCATGCTTCATGATGTTAATGAATTGAGAATAAAGCGTGAGCCAAAATTATCAGAAAACCTAAATGGTTTAAGCTAGACTGCTACATGAACTTCTCAGACTGTTCTTGACAGGATGGATTTCCTATTGCTACTTTTCAACCAAGGAGATTTATGGAATAACCAGATAATAGCAATATCTCACCAGATTTAAATATCTGAGCTGTTGATCCTGATCCTCCTGTATGTTTAGGAGGACGGCTGATTTGTTGACTTAAGCAAATATCTGGACATGGCTGAATCCTTTTTCATAGAAACTGTATAGAATTCATGGTTTTTGTGAGAAAATGTCTTTATGCGGTTTAAGGGTAATTTTCCTCAGAGAAACTCTATCCATGTCACCAGTGTATGCACTTTCAATTACTGAGAAACCTCCACCCAGCCAGTTCCACTTCTCCTTTCACCTCCCATACTAACGGCCACTTGGCAGACCCCATGATGCCCCCCCGCTTCCTCGCAGCTCCTCCTGAGGGTGTAGGAAGAAAGTCGTAACATCAATAGAGTATCAGTGCCCGTCTGGTGTAAGATGAAACAGACACTGCCAATGGTAGTGATTTATTTTCTCCTTTTTTTATCATCATTCTTTAAATACGCCGTTCAAACACTGAGGATTGGTGGTTTTGTGGTTCCCTTTGTTTACTGACAGAAACAAACACGGGTTAATAGGAGAAACCAGGTCATGGCAAGAAACCAGAGATGTTTCCATGTACTGCAGTAACCCAGTTCCTGTGAAATGTAGTTTATATGAAGGTGGTCCAATTTCTCTCTAGTTTTGCTATTTCTTTTTTCTATCAGTTTCTGTCTTAGAAAACACAATTTAATAGTATCCAAATCAGAGTTTCATTTTTGCTCAAACTCCTATTTTGTAGGATAAAGCACTTTCAGTAACCCCCACCACCACCTCCCAAAACTGGCACATGTGAATAAAAGGAAACTGGGTTAAATTTTATGCGGATATATGACAAAAATCTAGGTATCATTCAAGATGTGTTAACCGGGTTTTAGTTAATACCTCACTTAAAAAAGAACACTGAGCCTCTTATATGTAAGAAATCAAACCTTGTAAAATCACTGTTACTCCTCTGATGTCAACAGTGTTCCTGCAGGAGAACCTGCAGTAACAGGATGTCTGATTTTGAAGCACTAATGATTAATCAGTGTACTTTGCATAAATGATAAAACGTGACCTTCTGTGTTCCAGGTTGGTAATAAAATCATCTTCCTGATTAGTTTTGTTGGAAACCGAGGGACTTTCACACGAGGATATAAAGCCATGGTTATGGACTTTGAGTTCCTCTATCATCTCATCTACCTCATCATCTGTTGCCTGGGCGTGTTTGGTCATGTCTTTTTCTACAGCTTGTTGGTGAGAGAAGCACAGAAGCAGCATGTCACCAGATGCTTGTAGGCAGGACATAAATCAATCCTTTTCCACTAGGCGTACACACAGCGTGGTAATTAAAAGGCAGGAAATTAGTTTAAACCATATATATATTAAAATTGGTTTCTTAGTGCAAGTATTTTGGTCCCGAAGTACTTGCGGTCTAAACCATAAAGATGCTTCGTCTCCACAATTTGGCGTCAAAATCTGAATTTATTATTGGTTTTGAACTGAGGCTCTTTTGCAGTTTCTTTACATGCAAACTCCAATTCACAGTCCAAAGACATGCTGGTATTAAAAATGGCCTCTTTAAATTGCTGTTGGGTGGAAGTGTGTACATGCATGTCTGTCCTGTTTACTTTGATTCACTGAGGCATGTACTCTGTCTCTATTAACAGAGAAATAGTAGTTCTAGAATGGAGTTTTCTGAAGGTCATTTAATACTGCTTCTGTGGTTTCTGGAGAGCCTTAGGTTGCTTCTATAACTTTTCATATTTTAGTAATATTTAAAAAAATGCAGAATAGACACCTGCTACCAGAAGCAGCAGGTGTTTAAAAGTCATGATTTAAAAATCATAAGTAAAGAAATACTGAAGGGAATACCAAAGGGATCAGTTTTATCTGGCTCTACAGAGTAAAGGAGAGCCCCTCTACAGCATCGGTTGAATTTTATCCTGCAGCTTTTTGGAAACATTTCAAAATGAGAAATAGGGTCATGTGTAAACTTATGAGGCAACACCCAACAGCTTTATGAATTAATAGTGTTTTAAAACTACAAGCAGCGTATCTGAGCTGACTGCAGACTCTGTCCTCAAGCAGCTTGTATCTGATAGTCCAATTGTTTCTTCATAAAGGCAGATAAAGAAAGACTTAGATTATTTTTATGTCTCTTTTGCATAAATTTAAGACAAGCTATGGTACTTTCTACTCAAAGCTATCACGCCTTAAGACTCCTATAGGAGTCTATGCCTATTGCATATTGATAAGCATCTCTTATGAAAATAAGCTACTGAGTCAGAAGCAATAAACATTTTTCCTTTGCATATAATTTGCCTGATATATATTTTTTCTGATGTCCTGAACTCTGTTTCTTTGAAATGTGTGCCATTTTTTGTGCAGTTGTTTGATTTGGTGTACAGAGAAGAGACCCTGCTGAACGTGATCAAGAGTGTGACCCGTAACGGGCGCTCCATCGTGTTGACAGCAGTGCTTGCTCTCATTCTGGTCTACCTGTTCTCCATCGTCGGCTACATCTTCTTCAAAGACGATTTTATCTTAGAGGTGGATCGCATCGCCAACGAAAGCCAAAGTAAGAGATGACGCCACATTCATATTTTTTACACTTTTACCTGTCGTTTTAGACATTACTAAAACCTGATTTTTGAGAACAACCAGAAAACCTGTGACTTTTCATGTTTTTACTTCGTAGATGGTGGAGGCAGTCTTGCCGGAGAGTTTCTAAGCACAGGAATGTGTCAAGGAGGTATTGATGAGAACTGCAGCTCCAATGCTCTACAGGAAGGTAATTAATGATGTGATACATAAACTTGCTTTTCCTAATTAGTCCTAAACCTAAATGTTTGAAGGCTGCCAAAAAGTTTTGCAGGTGGGTCTTTCAGGTTAGAAGCCTGAGTTGACCCCAGTTGGTTTTCATTAATGCATTCAGAAGTGAACTGGTAGGTTTGGTTGGAGTTTGGTTTCATGTTCCTTGTTTTCTACAAAAGGCTATTGGACAATTTTAAACAGAAAAGGGTAGTTGCTGGTAAAACGGCCGTGTATTTTGAGGAAGATACCAGGGAACTGACTCCTATGACCACAGAAAATGATATTCGGAGGACATTTGTCATTTTTTTGTATTTATTTACACCATTCTGCAGTTCTGCAAAACACTCCCACTTATTTACTCTCACGTGACTCTTCCAAGCGTCATATGACAGTAATTCGATCCAAAGAGCTCACCTGCAACACCCATCGATCTGTATGTCACATTGGTTACCTGTTGCGTCCCAGAGAAGAACAAACAATCTGGAACTTTCTATCAGTCCGGCTGTTACAACAAGACTAGAATAAGTTTGTAAGATAACAGTGACGACTATTGTCTGTGAACTAGCTCGCCGCTGTAATATTCCTATATTTTATAAGTTTATATGACAGAAAACGTTCCTAAAATGTTTTGAACCCACAACCGTTAAACCAGTCGTATAACAGTAGAACTTTGTCACCACTGTTTTCAGCAGATCTGTATGAGCAACATTAAACTGTACCTTTAGTCTAAATGTTAAAATGACCTATATACTACTCTGATGCAGGTCACTTGTTTCAGCAAAACAAGAACATTGTTGCTTTGACTAACAAGCGTCACAGTGGGAGCCCGAGGATGTAAACACAACTGATGTAGAGTTATGCAACAAAGTCAACAGAGTCAAGGATACATTTCATGAGGGACCAGGAAGGAAGGCTGGCTGTAAAGATCATAAAGCAATGCCCCTCCCCTTCTTGTTGCTGCTGGTTATTGCATTTTCTTCACTTACAAAAAAAGAGTTCAGTTTGTGCAGGCTCAAGCTCAGGTTCCGTAGCCGGAAATATTTATGGTTGTAAATAAAATTCATTAATTTTGTGAAAACTAAAGGGTTACCAGCCCATTATTCTGAAGGAAAAGCTTTTTTATTTTTTTATTTACCAAATTTCTCTTAAACATAATATTTTCTTGCTGCAATATAAATATTAATTCATAAAAATAATCCAATTACCCACACCTGGATAAAAACAAAAATATAAATGCTTGTTTAGCCTCAGTTGCTTACGTCTGTTTCTGGAAACAAAATATATATATATACCTTGAAGGTAAGTCCATAGATATCAACAACTTCTAGAGTTTGGCTACATGAGCTGATAACCTGACAAAATAACCACATAATGTTTCAGCTTGTTAAACATGTATTACTAACTAAAGAATCAAGTGCATAAAATAACACTTATTTCTCAAGAGATTACTGAAAAAGAATGTTAAATTTAGCTGGTTTCTTTTATATGTTCTTGCCTATGTTCATTGTTTTTTTTTTGTTTTTTTTTAGCAACAGGAAATAAAAAAAATTGACTCAAATCAAAATATATAAAAATAAATTTTGGCAGATTCTAGGACTATGATTGTTAAATTTATTTATTTTTTTTCTCTGAAGCAGCCATGGAAATAAGAGCAACTCTCCCGTTTTCATGAAATCAACTCAGTCATTCTATAATTGTTTTTTCTTTATTATTTCTTTAGCAATCATTATATAATTAAAATCTCATTCCAGCTCACGCCTAGATTAAATTATAATCTAACTCAACCAAAGCTAAGATAATTACACTCAACGGACTATTTTTAACTGAAGAGGATATGCGATCCTTATCTTATTTTATTTTTATATCTTATTTGTATTTACAATCTTATTTTTCTCTCTTCTGTAAACGGTTGCACTGCAAGAAAAGAATTTCTCGCACGGGATTAATAAATTGATTCTGATTTTAATTTGTGTTCCTTAAAACGTAATAAAAGCTAAATATTTTATACAAAAATATGAGTGCATATTGGGTACAAGTAAAAATATTATAACACAATCTTGTTAATTAGTGAGGCTTACTTGCAGCCTGTAGTTCAGGGCTGTTTATGTTACATAAAGTCCATTACTTCCTGATAGTCCAGTTATTCTGGTTCACAATAATAAACATTAACCAATGATAAGGCTGTGCTTTGGTTAGGTTTTGTGTTGTAGTTTTTATTAACCTCTTTACAGAGACTAACTTAAATGTCTTTTCACCCCTTCTTCTTTAGAGTTTGGGATCAACAACGAAGATGAAGGCAACATGGAGCGTACGTGTGACTCTCTGCTCATGTGTATTGTTACGGTGCTGAGTCATGGCTTGAGGAGCGGAGGGGGTGTGGGGGACGTTCTCCGTAAGCCTTCTAAGGAGGTAAATTCCAGTCTGACTTGGTCCCAGGCTCTGTGTGTGTGTCTGTCTGTGTGTGTGTGTGTGTGTGCTGAAAGGATGGTGCGTCTGCTGCTGCTGCAGCAGCAGGTCATGTGAGTTGGCTCTGAGCTCATTGTGCACTCAACTTGTTTTTATTTCAAAAGCGTGAAGCTTTCGCAATGTTTCCCAACAGCTGCACTGCCTCTGGCTTTTGTTAGTGAATAAAACTGTAAAAAAAAAAAGATTTCCACTGAATTCTAGCTGAACCACAAATGATGTCAAAAAGAGGATGTCTTTGCCCCCTCAGCCCTTTTTGCAACACATTACAACTATTTAGATAAAAAAATGTGTAACGTCTGTTGAGACTGCCGAAAAAAGACACAGTTTCTCATTACACTTGAGTGTGCTGCAGGGTGGGGAAAGCCGTAGTGTGAAATTGAAAACATTTTTTGTTTATTCTTAAATCCAGTTTTTATTTCAATACATTTTTCTGTAGGTAAAACTACAGTATATGCATATGTACCTTTTTTTTTTTAAGTTTCCTAGTAATCCACAACTCTTTGGTAAACCTTACTGTAAACATGACAACACCTTTAGTTTCAGCTACTGGCCTCTACCATCAATAAGCACCCATATTTATGTTTCCATACACCGAGTGATAAAAACAGAGTGGTTAAAACCAGGAAAAAAGAAAAAAAAAACTCCAAAGCTTTCTTTTGAAGAACTGCAATAAAGAGTAGAGTTTTAAGGTCAGCAAACCTCCATTAAAACCATGTGGCTGTGTTTAGGAAAGGGGGAAAAATAGTATTTTCTGACCCAGCAGTGCAAATGTAAATGTATAGAGTTTGCTATCTGATAACAGGACTTTAAAGAGCATCTTTCACTTAGAAGACAAAAAAGACTAATATTGAACGTTTATGCAACAAGTTAGGAGGATTTAGTGTGAAATTAAGGATAAATGTGTGGAGGAAAAGGACAATTGATTTTGCTTAATTGCATGGTATCATGAAGTCTGAAATACCAAACATCTGCCAAACCATCCAAGTAACCTAAAGTGGTTTAATATTGGGGGAAATTAATTTGTTGAGCTTAAAAAATGGCTAGAGAAAATTTTGATATTAATTGGACATGCTCTGATATGGATTTTGGAGTTTGAATTTCTGTAACAAAATCAAATTTTTCAAAGCTCATGTCTTTAGTGTGAATAAAAAGTAATGCTATAAAATATTGAGTTAGATTGACATATAATTGTTCATTAAACACAAAATCAACTTGCTTTTGTTGTTTTTTCTAGAGACATGGACCTTTATAGGGGTGGGTTAAACTGAAGAAAAGGAGCACATAAGATGTTATTTGGATGATTTAGAGATTTTCTGTGTGCTTTAACCTCATAACTGTTAACAAAAGGAGGTTATGTGCTCTTCTGTTCAAAGATGGTTGTACAAAGTATGAACAGCAGCTATACCTGTTAATCTGCTACTGCTGACTAAATTAAATTATATTTCTGAACTGAGTAAATGTACTCAAAAAGGAATAATTTGATTGTTTTGCTACTGCATGTATTCATTTACATTTTTTTTTCTATAAAATGGCTGCCAAAAAATCTGCATGTGAAGTGTGTGCCTGAATTTGACCAATGTTACTAAGACTGAAATTGACATGAGCAAGACCGGCTGCGTCATGTTGACTCTGTCATCTGTGCTACTATAGCTTCTGTTAGTACATGTTTCTCTGTTTCATACCATGAGAACCAAGTTTAATCTCCTTTTGAACCCCAGGCACAATCCCCCACTTGTTCAAATGGAAAAACCTAGTTATTTTTTTCTATTTTGCACACTTATACAACTATTTTTTTTTTTTCCTATGACTTACTTTCTGTTAAACTGATTGCAATTTATGACAGTTTTAAAAAATCTAAAAATGTACACCTGTCTCATTTATCTATGTAGGAGCCATTGTTTGCAGCCAGGGTGATTTACGACCTGCTCTTCTTCTTCATGGTCATCATCATTGTCCTTAACCTCATCTTTGGTGTCATCATTGATACCTTTGCTGACCTGAGAAGCGAAAAGCAGAAGAAAGAAGAGATTCTGAAGACTACGTGCTTCATTTGTGGTAAGCTTCAAAATGCAAAGGGGCTCTCCACCAGTTTGCATTTACTGGGTTCACATTAAATATGCTCTTTTCACAACCTGATTATGACTCTTAATAAAATCTCTCTGGAGAACAAAAAACAGCTTTTATGGATGCAACAAAAGATTATATTGCAAATCAATTAATCTGTCTGTAATTTTTCCCAATTAATCTAATTAAAAATCAAAAGTTTCCTTAAGTAAGACTTTTTATAGAATTAAACCTGGTGAAACTAAAACTTTTCCACTTGTGGAGTTCTGGGTAGAGCATATTGACAGACAAAAACGTTTTCTTTTAATCTTATATGTAAAGTATATATATATACACCTTTCAAAATATCTATAGAGACACCGCTAAGTGGGTTGCTCTGTCAGCTAAAGGCATGTTTTAGCGCTGGCATGCCCAAAGTCAGTCCTTGAAGGTCGCTGTCCTGCAGGTTTCAGAGGTTTCTCTGCTCGAGCACAGCTAATTTTCATTGATTTCTTGATTAAGAGGTTTTGCTGAACTGCAATCATCAGAATCATCAATTAGATTGTTTAAACCCTTATTTTCTGTCTTTTTCTTTGTGCTGCTTCAATCAAAGATAGCTCTAGTGACACGCACCTGCTCTCCCTCTTTCATGGGACCTGTATTTCAATAATGGTTTTATGTAAGCACAAATAATCCTCAGATACCCATTACTATCTAAAATGTACAGCCTGACATTAATAACAAGCTATAATGTGTTAGAGTTTGGATTAGCATTTAGCAAATTGATTGAATTGAGCAGGTAGTTCAATGGTAGTTTTTGAAGGAAATGAAAGTTCACCTATTTTACTGTTGCTTGATATATGTTTTATTTTTTTTATATTGACAGTGCTCTGGAGTGTGTCTCAGGGGTTCAGGTCAGGCCGGTTTGCTTGCCAGTCAAGTGCAGTAACATTACAGTCAATGAACCTGCTTTTGGTACCTTTGGCATTGTTGGCAGGTAGCAAATCCTGCTGGCTGATGAAAGCAGCATCTCCATTAAGTTTGCAAGTAGTGAAAAGCATGAAGTTCTTGAAAATTTTCCAGTAGAAAAATACACTGACTGATGACTTCAGAAAACCATTTGGAACAACACCAGGAGATAACATGACACCCTAAATGATCCCTTGACGGCAGAAACTTTAGACATTATGTTATTGCTGTTTAAGATATTAAAGGGTAACCGCAGAAGATGCACCGTTGTTGACCAGGTCATGTGACTTTGAAGAACGTCCCGTCCAACCCAGTGGCCCAGAGTAGCAGCATTTCTCACGCCCTCCAAGCTGAACCTAGACCGCTAGCACGGTCAAAAGATATGGGAGGCTGTCCACGAGATTGTTGACTTTTGCAAAAGTACTGCGGCCTGTGGCCAGTAAGGGAACTAGACGTGAAATTTAGAGGTCTAGTGCCACCAATGGCCAAAAGTTACACGTTTCTTTAATAAAAATACAAATCACTAAATGTTAGTGATGGCTTGTCATCATCCGATCCAGTCAATCATCAATATTGGAGCCGATATCCGATCTCTACAAACACATGGATTCAGTAATGTTCCAATCTTTCTCAAGACACTTTGCTTTAGGAATGAATTACAAGCTTTTTTTAATTCCTGAAATGAAGATATTGGTGCGATCTTTTTTCTCCTTAGTCCGGATTAGTAGCTTCTTATGTTGTCTCTGATTCAATAGAGCCGTTATGCCAGAATTGCACAGTTCTCGATCATGTCCCGGGAACGCTTGTAAGTGATGGCTCCAGTTGGCTCTCATTTTGACGTAGTTTTTCCTTGCCGATCTTTCTATTTAAATGCTTGGATACTATCCTTTTAACAGTTCTTTTTTTTTTTTTTTTTTTTTTTTTTTTTTTTTTTTTTTTTTTTTTGGCTTAACTTTCTTGTCTAAAGCATCTGTATCTGTCTGTTGGACAACCATAAAGTAAGAAATCATCTCTGTAATTGTGTAGCTCATAACATATCAAAATGAAAAAAAAAAAGTTTTTATTAGTGTTATGTATTCAATTTTTTAGATAGAATAAATGTATGTTTCATTATCTGTAAGTCATAACCATCAAAATTAACATGGATAAACACACTAAATATTTTTTCTGCAATAATTGAGTTTTCCGTTATATTACAAGATTTTAGTACCGGATAATGCTTATTCCCTGTGGTTGAAATGGCTTTCTACATGTACTACACTGCATCATCCTTCTATCGGAATTGTATTCTGTCATTCCCAAATTCCCAGCCCAGAGCCCCAGGTTTTGGGCTTTATTCATGGTTTCTGGTAAGTAGGTCTGTAGAGGTCTACTGAATGTTTGTGAAGTTCCCCTCGTCTCCTCCTCCCCCATTTTCACTATGCTGTCGTTCCAACGAAAGCTGAGTCATGAGAGCTTCCTGCTATCGCTTCGTTCGCCTCCATAATTCATGTGTGTCTTACACGCAAACACATTCTCTCCTTCACATTCATGCACAATCCTAATTTCCCTACTCTATGTTTTTGTGCATCTCAACTGATTAGCCAAACTCTTTCTACTTGAAATGGTTCATCTGTATGTCCTGATATGATCAAAATGTGTGTCAAGGAGATATGTGTCATACAGTGTGTGCATACACACCCTAATGTATGTCAGCGCCAGAGTAGATCTAGTATGGAAGCATGTGTGTGAGTTTGCATATGTTGCGACAGGCAGTCAGAACAAGTGGTAAACATATGGAAGGAGAACAGTATGTCAGCCAGTCAGCCAGCCGTTGGCTGTGAGTCAGTCACATTAAATAAGGCCACAGGGGGAGCTGCTGTATCTATGGTTTCCAGAAGGACCACAAGAGAGCAGGAGATTCAGAGATTAGGAGCCAATCTCCTCAGAAATTAAGTGGCCTGATGTCCTCCAGCTTGGTTTTATAAGCATTTCTGTTTCGCAGTTTGCTCTGTTAGTATGTCGATCGCATGGGGGTGTGCAGCAAATCTCAGCATATCAGTATTAGATAAATTAATTGAATTACTTATTTTTACCTAATTTGTTTAGTTAGGAAACAGGCACAGCTTTTTTCAGCTAGTAGATCCAAGTGTCATCCTGTCATACAGTGCTCCTCCTTTTTTATGGGAATTAAGTTGCTGGTTTAAATATCATAATGTTGGGATCCAAGAGCAGTTTTCTTTTCCTTCAATTTTATCTTATTCTGTTCCTGTGTTTTTGTTTCCCATATGATTAGAGAAGCTTTTTCTACTAATACCAATATCCGGTTCCCTTTGAGGTCTGACACACAAATTCAGATTTACATGCAAGACAGGACAGTTATGTCTAATAGGTTAACCTTGACTGATGGGGATCTGTGCATATCAGACCTAAATTGAACTTGCACATCAACAATAAAGGCTTACTGAAACTTATGAGTAAAAATATGAGACATATATTTAATGTTTTAATAATATCTGCTAGAATTTCTTGATTTTTCCTTAACACATTCTCTAAACAATCTTTTGAGCAACCCTTTTGTATGAGCATTACTTTTTTTTTGTATGAGTTGCCAATAAGGCCTGGCAAATCCTAAGCAAACATGGCTTACAGTTCTGTCATTCGAAAGCAGACATATAATATGCAGTTTTACAAGTTGACATTCTTTAGTCAAAATTACTATTTGCTTTTGACTTTTTTAGTGCTCCCTTTTGATAAAAATAAAGCCTTTAAAACATTTCTATGAAGTTAGTTTTTCCTCTTGGAAAGACTTTTTTGTTTTACCAAGCAATAATTTTGAAATCAGACATGGCTGCCCTGTCTTGCATGGAAAACCAGGTTTTAGCTGCAGTACTCTCCCAGTTATATGCACCTTTGTTTGTGCATTTTTTATTAAATCAAAAGCCATTATTTTACTGACTAACATCTTCTTGCAAATATCTAATATCCAGTGAAACGTTCTGCAATTCTTTTATATTGCTAATACAGGCTAACTTGATCCCTGGATACAACACTTAGCTTATCTAACTGGTTTGCCAACTTCTAACTTGACCGAGGTTATGAAAGTGTTCATATCATTCCAAGGTTTGAGTTCCAAGGCAAATGGAGCGCAGCAGAAGTAAAACACTTTGCTCCACCTCCCAGCTTTTCCTTGAGACTTTTTGGTGATACTTTCTGTCACCCTGTCTGGTTCCCTGCTGCCAAGCATGCAGGCATGACTTGGCTAAACATGAAGTGTAATTATTCAGGAGGACATACTTTAGCAGAAGTTTAAGTTTGTGTCAAATATGACCAAAAACTAAAAAATAAGAGGCAACCTTGGTGGTGTCGAACATGTCCCACTATCCTTATATCTAGTCCATTCCAGTGTATAGACTATGTCTAGTCTATACACTGGTATGGACCTAGCCTGACGTAGTCCTACTCAATTCTAGTCAGAATATGAGTCTGATACTGCTCCATAGAGCTGTGATTATGGGGTGTGTTTCGAACGAACCAGGAAAAAAAAAGCCCTCTGCACTCAATTGGATAGACCTACAACCAATAAGAGCAACGAAGTGCGTGATGTATGTTAAGCGAGGCATAGTTGTTGTCAACAAAAATCAAAGCGTGCAGTTGCACGCCTAGAATAAGAAGATGAGCCTTGATCGCGTTTCTCTGTTCCTCTTTTAAAATTAATTTGCTGTCGATATCTTCTAGAACAGACCTAATAGCAGAATCTACTCACCTCAACTCTCCAGCGGCAGCCATTGTTGTTGTCACCCAAGCGCGCTTTGGTGACGTGGTTGATTACGTTACTGTTGATCATCTGTCCATCATCGTATAAAGCCCGCCCTGACAATTTGATTGGCCCGCCAGATATTGTGCGAGCATACTCGCGCTACTATTGAGCAATGCCAGACCGAACTTCCTGACCTCAAACGTTCCTGACCTCAAACTAAGTTCGGAATGGCACCCAGGCTAGTATGGACCAGGCATAAGCTGATGTTTCAAAGCTCTCCTTGTTTGATCCTGTGTTTCCTATTAGTACTATAATAGATCTGACACTGATTGCTAAGATGATGGTGTGTATTCTCCTCTAGAATAACTAGATTTGTAGTTTTTTTTTTTACAACTACTGTAACTGTAACAAACATCAATAACTTTTTGAAATGTATGATAATTTAGTCAAGTAATTGCTTAACCTCTTAACATCCACCTCATTTTGGGTAATCCTCACCTATTTTGCATACCCAAATGGAAAAGAGAATTATATGGTGGAATTTTATGCATTCTGAGTTACTACCCCAATCTACGGTCCACCGGGTCGCCGGCGACCCAGTGGTTCAGAGGTTAAGCAAGATTTAAAGATAGCCCTACTTTACCAGCAATATAAGCTTGTTCTTTGTTTTAACAAGGAGAGTATAGTTTCACGGATCAGAAACTGCTTGAGTCCTGTTGTTTTTTTTTGTAAACATGATCTGGTTCTGTATTGGTCAGCCAAAGTGTTTTAGATTTAAACATCAGATGTTCATTGTTGATCCAGTTTTGTTAAATTAGCATCACAGCCTCGTTTTAAGAAGCTTTTTCTATATGTGCTGGTTTCTGATGTCTGGTTTTGATAATGCTTTGACTTACAGCAACTAATAGTAGCCAATACTTTTCAAACCTTTAGAGTTATATATAGCAGCAACATATATGATAAAAGGACCCGATTTTTATTATTTATCTCGTCTTGCTGTTAAAGGCTTTCATTTATTACATTGTTTAGAGATTTCCAAAATGCTGCAAATATTTCCTCGCATTTTAAGACAAACGTTGAAAGCTCTAAAGAATGAAAGAAAGTCTTGCTCTATCTTGATGTCTTGCAGCTTTAAACTATGTAGGTCTTGGAATGTTACATAAAATATAGTTAATTAGTGATTCTTATAGTGCCTTCACTCAGTGGAAAAATACAATTTTTGTAATTTTTCCCCCAGTTTCCTATCTACCAGTCACTAGTTAATCTAGACCAAGATTTTTAGCCGCTGTTCTATGTCTTGGAGCATCTCCAAGTTATAATTTATTGATTGGATAAAGGTAGAGCTAAATTCCAATATAAGCTTTCAATCATCAGGTAATACAGTCACTGGTTTGTCATTTTATACCTAAATATAAAGTGACATGATGCTGACTTAACAATTTTAGCCTTGAAAAGAACTATAAGCTCTGCAGCAGATTTCCTGACTCTCTAAAAATCTTGAGCTGCTTTTTTTTTTTTTTTTTCTCTACAAACGCTGTTTTTCTGTGTTGCAGGTCTGGAGCGCGATAAGTTTGACAATAAGACAGTGACTTTTGAAGAGCACATCAAAGAGGAGCACAACATGTGGCATTACCTGTATTTCATAGTTTTGGTAAAGGTGAAAGATTCAACAGAATACACAGGACCTGAGAGCTACGTGGCAGAGATGATCAAGGTAAACAAAGATCACCCATGGATACAAACACCTCCGCAGTAGATGGTGCAAGAACATATGTTGTAAATGTGATTAATTTGCTATTTATATTTAAATGCAACACATTTTTATAACTGTCTGATTGAGTCACATCTTTCACCTCAGAAAAATATGCAAGGTTAACTTGATGGGGTTGTTTTTTTTTTTCGTTACATAAAGTTTTTTCTGTGGAACTAGGGAGTTTCTTCAGTAAGAGATGTTGTAAGTCGTGAATCAAAAGCTTTTCAGGTTGTGTCACGTTTTTTTGGCAACTGTAGTTAGGCAAATAATTTTTTTTTCCAGTTACTAATTCACACTTTCAAACACGTCCTGGGTCGTAAAACAGAAACAAACTCACCAGCGTTTTATCACTTCCTCTTTTCTAATCTTAACTAACAGGTGTGCATAGTTATGCCTATTTAATAATACCAGCTGACTGGTGCAGCCAAAGAGGAAGTTTCTAAAACCAAAAAAAAAAAAAAAACACAAGCGTGTGGTTTAACATTAAGACCAATCAAGGCTTTCTTTTCATTTAATTATTTCTCCAACTTATGAACACTTCTTATGCACTCTAACCTGAACTAGAACCTTTTCCCTACAATTGCATAAAGCCAAACAACTGATAAAGTTACCGTTTCATTGTAAGTAGCCCCTAGATCTCTGTGATTCTACTATATGTTTGGCTATCCACAGGAGCACAACCTAGACTGGTTTCCTCGGATGAGGGCCATGTCTCTGGTAAGCAGTGATTCAGAGGGGGAGCAGAATGAAATCAGGAGCCTGCAGGAGAAGCTGGAGTCAACAATGAGGCTGGTGGTCAACCTGTCTGGACAGCTGACAGAGCTTAAGGAGCAGGTATCGTCACCAACAAGCTACAGATCCGCCTGAATGTAGCTCCGCTCCACATGTCTTATTTGTTCCCTCTTTTGGTTCCTTTTTGGTAACAATATTGCCATTGTAGGGAAGTAGTACATGCCAAAATACTAAACAGATAAACACTAGTGTAATATGTACCTGTATTGGTTTATTTATTTAGGACTTCGTTTTGAATTAACCTCAGATGAACGCTATTTTACTACACGCAAAGAAAATACTTTTTTGTGGTTCGTTTTGTGGTTTTAATCTCATAGGAATCTCTCGAGGTGAGCAAGAGATTAGGTGCTTATCAGCACATAGCCTCTCTGACAGATACAGTATAATGGGCTTTTATCATTATGCTTAAATTACAATAATAGAATTGATATTTTCAATAGACTTATAGTAGCATATAGAACAATTAGCTAACAATTGATGTGTATAATCCAGACTATAGATCATTCATTTTACTTCCAAAGCAAGATTTGCTTTTTTAAATTAACTTTTTTAGGAAAGCAGTCTATAAACATAAACACTGCTCAGTCTGACAGCAGCAATGGAAGGTGTGTCTAAGGTCATAATACTTGAATACAGAAGTTCCTCTAATTGAAATGTAACCTTTGTACTGCTCTTCTTGTTTTCCTCATACAGATGACTGAGCAGAGGAAGCAGAAACAACGAATAGGTCTTCTGGGTCATCCCCCACATCTGAACATTAATCCCCAGCAGCCTGCATGATTTCCCTGGAGGACAGTTCAACTTTCACCAGTGCCCCAGTTACCCACAACAGAGCACTATAATGTGCCCAAATGTATTCAGGCTGGATGTCTGACTGTACGGTCGACCTGATCCTTCTGAAATATGCTCTTCAGCAGACATGTTTGTACATATGTGTCTACATGAAGTGAAAGTTTTAACCCTCTGCAGTGTGGGTGTGTCTAGGTGGGTTAAGTTTGCACAAAGTGCCTGGAAACCTTAGAAGTCAGTCTTGTCAGTCAAGGAAATGAACACATTGACTTAAGGGTCAGGAACCCAACTGTTTTCAGCTTTTTTTTTTGTTTCCCTTCAGAAAGCCAAAGTTCAGCCATTGTTGCTGAAGGAGATTTTCTCCTCAAGTGTCCTTTTGTCATGGGTGGAATCCCCAGTGTGGGACTGCAAACTCAGGCCACATGTCGATTTGAAGGTTTGTTTCAGCATGTTATTTAATAACGGTTTCATCTGAGCTTATAGAAATGTTATATGCAATGTTGAAACAAGGATGAAATGTGTTGATGTTTTTGTTTTTTAGTTTTTAAAGAGTGTGTTTTATATTTAGCACATAAAGACAAAAAAAAAAAACCTTGAAGAGAACCAGATCTCAAAGTACCCCTTAATATGTTGTCTTAATTATCTAATAAAAAAACATATAGTTTTTGTTTTTATATCAAGTATTTATCAATTCCAGAAGTCTTTAAAGGATCTCTCAGTGAGGTCTATTTTGTCCTAGGAGAGTTCATACAAAAACTGAAAGATTTCTTAGAAGCTGTTAGTAAAGATGACATGTCTTAAAAATAATCCTAAGCATTTACTTTGAAGGATGTGTTGTATAAATTCACTGGAGGGTCAATGCAAGTCCTTCCAAATATCTCTATTTTGTTATTATTAATAGGGGCTTAAAATCAATTAAACACAAACTTTATTGTGTCTACACTGAATTAAGTATGGGTTTTTTAATATTTAGTCCAAAGCACTGATACTGTCTGTAGCACACAACTACTTTGTAAAACATCATCATGAGAATGCCTTTTGAAGTGTTTAAGAGTATGAGGTCACTTGGCATGCTGCTTGACCAAACTAAGCTTTTCTACTATTTGACAATTTGTGTCTGATTTGTACATTCTTTTCTTGGAGTTTATTTAAATAAAGACGTGTGTAAAATACCCCGTTTGCTACGTTCCATGTTTAAATCAGCAGAGCAACTAAAGAGGTACCAAATGTTACATTAAAAGGTAAGAACTGGTTGGTTGGTATTTTCCTTGTGGTTTATTTTCCTGCTTCTCAGTGCAGTTGATTCTCTCCAAGCATACTGTATTAGACAATAATGACTGAGGAGCTTATTAGTGAAGCACAGTTTGTAAATAAATATTAAATTACCGTAGAAAAGATGTACTCTTCTTTTTAAAGGGGATATGCTTGTTTATACTTTTCCAACTTATATAGCACAACATTATTTTTTTAATTATAAATCACATTTGATAAATTACTTATTATTTTGACTTCCTTTGGTTTAGTGTGATATATGAGAATATAATGAAATGTTTATAACTGCAAAGTTATATTGGTAAAAATACTCTAAAGGCACAACATGGAGCTCAAACATTTTAGTCATTTTTATTTTCGTTATTTTGTAGAAACTTCTAACCCATGAGTTTCTGTTTTCTTGGCATACAGTATTTCTGTTACCTTTTGATCACTATCACATAGGATTGGAAGGCTGCTTTAAAAAACTGCTAATTGTAGGAAAGCAGCAGCAAAGAGTTGCATATAGGGTTTACCAGAACAACCAATAGACACATACTATATGCCACACAGTTGTTTGAGGGTGACGCTAGGAAAAACAAAGGATTTTCTTTCCTACCATTAGAAATGTGAATAAATAGAATGAGTTTTAGTTCTAATGAGACATAAAGGTATAGTGGAGGATGTACTTTTTCCGGGTGGATCATCAAAATAAGTGGTCCTCCTAATTTTATATCATTCTGGTGAAATGTTTATGTAAGGCCATCCTATGCTCGTCCCCATTTTCACTTACTGATGGTGAGTCTGACATAATGGAAAAATTGCAAGACTTCTTTTGGAAATTAAGCTTGTATGAGCGATGCAAACAGCATCTTTTAAACAGAGTGTGCACAAGGAGAAATGGGCTGGTGCACGCTCTCTCAAACGTTTAAAAGGGCATTCCCACTGGGGAGCGAGTACAGGGTTGTGGAGAGGGCGGGTTTTTCAAAAGTTTTTCGAGAATCCTCCACTATACCTTTAAACTGGAGCTGTAAGACTAGGAAAAAGTGTGCCAGACAAAACTGTGTCACTTGGGTTTGGTGTTAAACAAAGGGCAATTATGTGGAAAAGCACTTCATGCTTGAAGTGTGAGGCTGTGGGCCTGTTTCTCTGTTAAAGGCCTATGATGCCTTGTTAATGGGCTGGGCATCATGAGCTCCAAAAAAAGTTACACTAGATCTATTATTGCACTTTTTTTTTTTTTTTTTATTCAATTCAGTTTTTTTTATATGGCGCCAATTCACAGAAAATGTCATCTCAAGGCAATTGAACCAGATCATACAGTCAGATTGATTCAAAGTTTCCTAAGGAAAACCAGCTGATTGCATCGACTGATTGATTCAAAGGTAATCCCTCACATCAAGCATGCTTATAGCGACAGTGGCGAGGAAAACTCCCTTTTAACAGGAAGAAACCTCTAGCAGAACCAGGCCCGGTGTGGGTGGCCATGTGCCGAGGCCGACTGGGGTTCAAGGAGACAGAAGCAGAGATTCAAAAGGCAACTGTCAGCTAGCTCCACATTCCCCAGAACATTTGACATCAAAATACACTATGCGTGTTCTTGGTCTGATGGCTTTAGCTCTTAAAGTCATATATTGCTTTAGCTGTAGGCTTTCCTATAAAATTAGAATTTTTATCATGTTGATATTTTGAAAAAAAAATTTATTCTCAGATATGAAATTTTTCTTACAAATAATTCAAAAAGTAAATACGCTTGCTAACATAGTGTGAATATGGTGCATTTTTACATGACTGAGTAAATGATTATGAAAATATATTTTTTTTACTTAACAGATAAAGTTTATATTTTCTCAAAACTTCTAATCTTTCTATTATCACGACCTAACGAATGTCTAAATATAAAATGATTTCAACTTTATGAGCAACAGTGTATAAACATGTTATAACACAGAAATAAGAGGTTTTTGTTAGATAACTTCCAGAAATTAACATTTTGTAAAAATTCCCAATTTTGTTTTAGTGAAATATTTAAAGGTATTTTACCAGGTGGTATTTTACCATGTTTTTGATTATTGCAAAGAAACCATCCATCCATTTTCCGTAACACTTATCCCAAGCGCTGTCACAAGGGCTGCTGGTGCCTATCTCCATCAGTCTATGGGCAAGAGGAGGGGTACACCCTGGACAGGTCACCAGTTCATCACAGGGCAACACAGAGATAAATAGGACAAACAATCCTTCACACCTAAAAGGAAGCCAATTAATCTAACAGCCATGTTTTTGGACTGTGGGACCCAGTGAGGAACCCACGCATGCCCAGGGCAAACATGCAAACTCCATACAGAATTACCTCAGGCCAGGAATCAAACCCGGAACCTTCTTGCTGCAAGGCAGCAGCGCTATTTACTGCCACACTGAGCAGCACTGCATAGAAACCAAGTAAAAAACAAAAAACTTTCTAGGACAAAGGTCAACAATTCACCAACTGAGCACATAACACTCCCCAACAAGCAGACACCCCAGTGTGCATCACTACTATTTCAGTCTCTGATATTTTTCCAGAAAAACCATCAGTCATAAATCTGATGAGTTCTTGCAGTGGGAGGTGTATCTTGCCAAAGTTTTGCAGGGGAACACCTTTTTGCACTCCCTTGCTTCTGTAATATAGTCTTTCCTAAGTCAGTGACACATCTGTTTGATTTCAGTAATGTTAGATTGGGTGACTTTAAAAACAAAACTTTTTTATTTATTATTTTTTTTTTCCAATAGTTGCTACTCCCAAATTAAAAATATTGGTTTTAAGGCTGCCACTTGTGAAAAGATAATAAAAAGTAGACTTTGGCTTTACTTGTGAAACTACATAAAATTAAGCTGAAGTTTTCTTGAATTTTTGTTAAAAAAGAAATTAAACTTTAAATTTCCATCCATCTTCTGCCCTTATTCCGGTGCTTATCTCCAGGATTCTATTAGCGAGAGGCAGGTTACAACTCTCTGTCGCAGGGCAACACAGAGACATACAGCCACTCACACCTAAGGACAATTTTGAGAAGCCAATTAACCTAACAGTCATGTTTTGGATTGTGGGAGGAAGTCGGAGTACCTGGAGAGAACCCACGCATGCACAGGGAGAACATGCAAACTCCATGCAGAAAGACTCTNCCAAAAAAAGTTACACTAGATCTATTATTGCACTTTTTTTATTTATTCAATTCAGTTTTTTTAATATGGCGCCAATTCACAGAAAATGTCATCTCAAGGCAATTGAACCAGATCATACAGTCAGATTGATTCAAAGTTTCCTAAGGAAAACCAGCTGATTGCATCGACTGATTGATTCAAAGGTAATCCCTCACATCAAGCATGCTTATAGCGACAGTGGCGAGGAAAACTCCCTTTTAACAGGAAGAAACCTCTAGCAGAACCAGGCCCGGTGTGGGTGGCCATGTGCCGAGGCCGACTGGGGTTCAAGGAGACAGAAGCAGAGATTCAAAAGGCAACTGTCAGCTAGCTCCACATTCCCCAGAACATTTGACATCAAAATACACTATGCGTGTTCTTGGTCTGATGGCTTTAGCTCTTAAAGTCATATATTGCTTTAGCTGTAGGCTTTCCTATAAAATTAGAATTTTTATCATGTTGATATTTTGAAAAAAAAATTTATTCTCAGATATGAAATTTTTCTTACAAATAATTCAAAAAGTAAATACGCTTGCTAACATAGTGTGAATATGGTGCATTTTTACATGACTGAGTAAATGATTATGAAAATATATTTTTTTTACTTAACAGATAAAGTTTATATTTTCTCAAAACTTCTAATCTTTCTATTATCACGACCTAACGAATGTCTAAATATAAAATGATTTCAACTTTATGAGCAACAGTGTATAAACATGTTATAACACAGAAATAAGAGGTTTTTGTTAGATAACTTCCAGAAATTAACATTTTGTAAAAATTCCCAATTTTGTTTTAGTGAAATATTTAAAGGTATTTTACCAGGTGGTATTTTACCATGTTTTTGATTATTGCAAAGAAACCATCCATCCATTTTCCGTAACACTTATCCCAAGCGCTGTCACAAGGGCTGCTGGTGCCTATCTCCATCAGTCTATGGGCAAGAGGAGGGGTACACCCTGGACAGGTCACCAGTTCATCACAGGGCAACACTGAGATAAATAGGACAAACAATCCTTCACACCTAAAAGGAAGCCAATTAATCTAACAGCCATGTTTTTGGACTGTGGGACCCAGTGAGGAACCCACGCATGCCCAGGGCAAACATGCAAACTCCATACAGAATTACCTCAGGCCAGGAATCAAACCCGGAACCTTCTTGCTGCAAGGCAGCAGCGCTATTTACTGCCACACTGAGCAGCACTGCATAGAAACCAAGTAAAAAACAAAAAACTTTCTAGGACAAAGGTCAACAATTCACCAACTGAGCACATAACACTCCCCAACAAGCAGACACCCCAGTGTGCATCACTACTATTTCAGTCTCTGATATTTTTCCAGAAAAACCATCAGTCATAAATCTGATGAGTTCTTGCAGTGGGAGGTGTATCTTGCCAAAGTTTTGCAGGGGAACACCTTTTTGCACTCCCTTGCTTCTGTAATATAGTCTTTCCTAAGTCAGTGACACATCTGTTTGATTTCAGTAATGTTAGATTGGGTGACTTTAAAAACAAAACTTTTTTATTTATTATTTTTTTTTTCCAATAGTTGCTACTCCCAAATTAAAAATATTGGTTTTAAGGCTGCCACTTGTGAAAAGATAATAAAAAGTAGACTTTGGCTTTACTTGTGAAACTACATAAAATTAAGCTGAAGTTTTCTTGAATTTTTGTTAAAAAAGAAATTAAACTTTAAATTTCCATCCATCTTCTGCCCTTATTCCGGTGCTTATCTCCAGGATTCTATTAGCGAGAGGCAGGTTACAACTCTCTGTCGCAGGGCAACACAGAGACATACAGCCACTCACACCTAAGGACAATTTTGAGAAGCCAATTAACCTAACAGTCATGTTTTGGATTGTGGGAGGAAGTCGGAGTACCTGGAGAGAACCCACGCATGCACAGGGAGAACATGCAAACTCCATGCAGAAAGACTCTTGCATCAAGAAGGTTCCAGGTTCGATTCCCAGTCAGCAGTTCTACAAACTGCACAATGGTGCAGTCTGCTTGAAAATTTGTCTACCTAATTCCTCAGTTATATGCATAATTGTGTATGTATGGATTGGGGAGTAAAGGACAAGCTTTCATTAGTTTAAGTGCTTATTTATATAATGCATCTATTTTTTTGTTTGGATCAAATATCTGTACTTCTCTAATGGCATAACAGTTGCAGCATTTAATTTCATTGATGACAAATTTTGCAAGAGCAGACAAAGGTGTTCCAAACTGGCTAATCTTTAGCACTTGAGAATAGGAATTTGCGTACAACTTTTTAAGCATCCGTAATATGTTTAGGATATTTAATTAATTTCCAGTTTCATCAACTCACACTAGCGTCTATTTCTAAAGGGGTATGGATTCCCTGTATGGTGTATCGCATGGTGGATTGGTGGATTTTGAAACACAGTCTAAGACTCATAAACATTTTTTTTGTTTTCATATTATTCTTTTAGGAACCACCTTTCGTGGAAGCAAATATAGAAATACATATGCAGGTTCTTCATTCTAGGAAATGACAATAGACTTTGTACACAACTATAAATTATCTTGTGGCTGTCCTGATGCAAAAAATAGACCAAAATCAAGCTTGAAAGGATGAGTTTAAGCAACTGGACTAAAGTTTTCTAGAAGGCCTGCACAGGAATGGGGGTAACATCTTCTTATGGGGTGGTCAACGTGACAGTCTGCACCATGTATGACGACACACACCGTCTACATGCACAAGTCCACGTGGTTCATCTCACCCCTGTCTGAGCTGTGCACTTCCAGGTAAATATTGTTTATTACACTGAAAAAAAAATAATGCAACCACTTTTGGCATTTACGTAATTACATTTAGTTACATTAACACAATTGTTTTTATGTCCTTCCCTGCTAACATGAAAGAATTGTGTTAAAGTAACTAAATATGATTAAATGCAAAAAATTGTTGCATTCTTTTTTTCAGTGCAGTCTATTAAACTGCTGCTTATTTCTCACTGCTGTCCCAAACATTAGGCAATGATCCTGGATCATATCCGTCCTGTCAGTCTCTTATTTGCTGTACATATTTCTAGGTAACCCTTTCCTTCAGGCCGGACTCCCGCTGAACACTCCGCCATCACCGCCCTTCCCTCCATGCTGCGCAGCCTTGTTTCCATATACTCCAGCATGGTGGTACACGGGATTCGTGGCGCGCCGGCCTCCGCTCTGACGTAAGCAGCGCCTCGGCCAATAAGGAGCCTCCCTCTGGGAAAGGGGGCCGTCCTCCCTGCGGAGGATACAGCGCCGCTTAACACGTGAGCCTCATGTGACAGAGGTAGGTCAGACTGAGCGGAGAGTCAGAGGGTTTATTTAACTCGTCGCTCCAAACTCCCCCACTTCCCCGACGCGCCACTCAGAGAGGGAGGACTTCCTCCTGCGGCGGGACCACAGAGTGGGATTTACATGGACTTAAACTAAACGCACTTTAGATATAGCGCATACACTTAAAGCTGTGCTTAAAATGAATAATTCAACATTTTTATAGGATTTTTTTGTTGTTGTTGAGACGCTCAAGTCTACTCCACTCCGCCTCTAAATACATGCGTGTTTGTTTGCGGCTAAATCGGTGAAATATATTTATATATATTTGGACCCGAACAAAGAATGGAGCGGATTCCAAGCGCGCAACCTTCCCTCTCCAAACACCAGCCTGAGCTATCAGACATGCAGGGGTAAGTCCCACTGCTCCCTAAACTATGACACTTTTATCCTTAAATTATTCCCAGATTCCTTACAGGTTGATCTATTTATTTCCCTTAGGATGGATATCCAAATGTATGTTTATAAACCTAGAAGAGGGATCAAAAGGGGTGAAGAGAACAAGGTTAGTATATATCTTCTATCTATTCACTATCTTACTTGTTGCAAACTTGTTTAAATCCACACTGCAGATTATTGTACGTAATCTACAAGGAAGGAATTAGAGTGGCAGCAGTTCCCATAAATGGTTGACCCAATTTCTGCTATGACATAACTCCTGGATTCCTCCCCATGGGTGGAACTGCCTGCAAACACGAAGGATTTACATAACAACCTCTGTTTGTTTCTCAGGATACTTACAAGCTGCCCCACAGACTTATCGAGAAGAAAAGGCGCGATCGGATAAACGAATGCATCGCTCAGCTGAAAGATTTATTACCCGAACACCTGAAACTCACTGTAAGTTCACTTTTGAAGTGTCTGGCTGAAGAGAATGGGATTCATTAATGTTGAGTAAATGGCACCATCTAGTGGCTGATCAGCGTTATAACATGCGCCTTAGCAGGGTGCACTGACTTGGCCTGCTCACTCTAAATTTTTTGTTGCTGTCTTTTTTAATATTTTGTTTGATGAATATTTTCAAAGTGTGCAAATTAGTTGGCAGTTTGCTATTCAATTCACAAAACAACCTTTATAAATCCTTCTCTATGGCTGTGTTGTGACAGAGCAGAGGAGGCCTTATGCCAAGGGCTAGTGCAATTTAGCCTGTGTGTTGAATAGGCAGTTAAAGATGTGCTGACTATTTGTGTCCCCCACAGACTCTGGGCCATCTGGAGAAGGCTGTGGTTTTAGAGCTGACACTCAAACATGTAAAGGCCCTCACGTCTCTTCTGGAGCAGCAGCAGCAGAAGATCCTCGCTCTGCAGACTGGCGTGCAAATTGGTGAGCTGCAGATATTTACATGCATTCACACATAAATATGGAGATTCGAGTAAAAAGCAGATTAGCCAAACAAATGTGTGAAAGTGACCTGTTGAAGAAGTTTTAGCAGTTAAGCAATCTCAATTGAAGTTACTATGTATGACAAATGTTTTTGTTTCTTGTAGATTTGCTCATGTTGATCTATTTTTTTATGTATCCACAGAGCAGCCCCCTGTTAGCCAGGAGAAGTCAGAGGAACTGTTTCGCTCTGGTTTCCACATGTGTGCCAAGGAGATTCTCCAATATCTAGCAAATCATGAGACAGAAGGAGACTTGAATCCAACTCGACTGATCAGCCACCTTCACCAACTGGCTGCTGAAGTGCTGCAAAGCCCAACCAGACCCCTTACCCCTCTCAGTCCCAAACCTAAAGAGGTTCAAGTCTACCATCAGCGCCAGGACCACAAAGAAACACCCACCACCTTACCCCCTAAACCTGCTGAGGGTTATGGGAGGAACTGCGTCCCGGTTATCCAGCGAGCGTATGCTCCAACTGGTGGCGAGCAGAGCGGCAGTGACACAGACACAGACAGTGGCTATGGGGGGGAGCTGGAGAAAACTGAAGGCAGGGCACTGCAGGGACGCTCTGATTATTACAGCCATGACAGCCAGCAGAAACGACCACTGGGAGACAGGCAGAGCTCTGGCATCAAACAAGAGGATGATGAGCCTCGCCACAAACGGCCCCGCATGGAGTCTTCTGAGGATGAGGTGCTCTCAGGTGGAGAGTCATCAATGTCATCATCCTCCAGTGGTTATGGTAGTTACATGAGCACTTCCCCAAGCCATCCGCCTCCACCTACCCACCCTCTCTGCATGCCGTTCTACCTCATCCCCCCCTCAGCTGCAGCTTACCTACCAATGCTGGAGAAATGCTGGTATCCTGGAGCTGTGCCTATGCTCTACCCTGGCATGGGAGGCTCCTCACCCACCATGTCTGGCGAGAGACCACCCCCACCGCAACTTGTGATGTCTCCCAGAGGAGGCTCTCCTGCTCCAGCCATATCTCAGACCCCCATGGACTCCCCTGCTCTCCTTCAGGCACTAAAGCAGGTACCACCCCTCAGCCTGGAAACCAAAGAATGAGAAATGAAGAAACAGGTGAAGGGACAATGCCTTTTCTGATAGCCAGTGGCAGTAAGGGGAAAACCTGACTGAGCTGTTTGTAATCTATAATCATCTTCTATTTTCCTCATCTGGAGGTCAGATATTACCCATCCACACTGGGAGGAATGCAAATCTCTGGCTGAATGTTTAAAGCTCAGTGGTTTTTTTCCTCGTTTATTGATGTATTGTCTGAACCCAAACTGCCCTGCACATGCATACACATTGGCTGAATGTAATGAAAGAAGTCTTTAAGATGCTGCTGTTGAAATGTTAACGCCTATGACAGTTATTCATCTCACTCTGTACTTGTGACAAAGACTTGCCATGTTGTACTTTAGAGAACGTTTTGCACCAAAATAGTAATGAATCACCCAAACTATGATGCCTATGTCCTTTGTGCACCATTCTGATCACTGAAAGGCCCTTTAGCTCAACATTGATTACTATAAACACCCAGAAGTTCTGAAGTGTGTACAGAATGGGTCAGGAGACAGCCTTAGCAGATGAAGGGATAGGCCACTGTATGGCCAAAACAAGTCACTTGTCTTGTTTATTGTGTGTGTTGATGAACTGAGAGGGATTTCTGTAATTACTGTTCATAGATTTCTTGTATATATTTCTATTTTTGATACCTGTGCTTGCACTCTGCACTCAGGCAGCCGTAGAAAGCGCAGAGTGTGGACGATGTTGTGTACTCAGAAGTGTACATTCTGTAGCACTGTGATGGACCTGGTCTGCGTACTCAACGTGTTTCTGCTCAAGTCAAACCTGGTGTTTGTTCTTGCTGTTGCATTTTACTTGTGAGAAGCTGATAAACTGCAGTTTATTCTCTGTACAATTTATTAAAGCTGGAGTCAAAGATATGAGGGAGGAGGGTGAAGTGAATGTAAGTTTTAACAGAAGATTAGTTTTTTATGGAAAGTAAGGTACTTAAAGTTTTATATTTTGGGACCTATAGAACGATGTTTGTTGTACATATTTTGTCTATAAATGTTGATATAAATCAGATATGTGTATTAATAAAGTATTTTTCCCATGGATATTTGTTTTCATTACATATATATCATTAATAGCATTAAAAATATGCAAAAATAAAAAGATCTCATCAGAATATTGTGTAAATAAATCCCTCGCAGCCACATCTGAGAAGGCTTTCAACTGCATTCACTCAGATGGTGAAACACATGTTAATTATTTTTATTCAGTCAATATAGAACCAAATTACAGCTGTGATCTAAAAACGTTACCAGACAATGACACCAATTACTCCAATAAAGAACTGTCGTATGGTTAAATTGAAAACTAATGGAATAAACTTCAGATAAGCAAAAAGTTATAATTGATATAACATTGAAAATCCAGCTAATTGAATCCATTTTAGTCTTTGCAGCAGTTTGTTATCCTTAGCAAGTATGTGGCAACAGTGTAAAGTAGCATCATCCCTTTAACTGAAAGAAACAGAATAGTACAGAATTAAAAAGTCAGTTGAAAGTGCATACACTGCTCCAGAACTATTTTATTTTTTTTGTTAATATAAAAACTAGATCAGAGAATCAGTGATTGCAACTGACTTACAAATTGTTTTGCCTTGAAATCAGGACAGAAATCAAGGAGCAGGCAAATAATTGCTTGTGCCAATAGCCCTGTAAGTGGCTCTCCTTAAAACAGTCACAACTCAACATAATCCTGGAAAGAGAAATGGCTCCACGTACATACATACAGCAAATAAAAGCTTAATGCAAGGAGTGTGAACAGCAAAACCAGCAGTGCCTGTTATTGGCTCCATCCAATAAAGACAGGACTAAAAACGTGGACTGGACCATAAGTATGTTTGGTAAACGAAAATAAAGAAACATACTCTGAAGAGCTGTAAAAGCTCAGTGAATGGTTCTGCCAAAGATAGAAGCAAAGCTAAACAGAGGAGAACTGAGCCAGAGTCACTTTCTATGGGAGAGGCAATGGTTTTTCAGTGACTGTGAGGAAAAGAAAAACTCAACTAAAGATAGGAGCAGCTCAAAAACATTCAACTAAAAGACAGCAAGAAGTACAATGATCAGAATAAAAAGATAAGCACTGTATAAACGGACCAGGATTATTTTTATGGAAGGGGAAAAAAACAGTAAATACACAGTTAATGAAAGGAAGAAATATGTAAATGGTTCTATTGAGAGACACGGCTAAACAAAGAAAAGGTGAAACTTTAAACAAAAGAAAAAGGCAAAATATGAATGATATATACATATTAGTTTTTTAAATCAAACACTTCATTTGAAACTTAGTTTGAAAGGAAAGACTGAATCCTTAAATATAAAAATATCACCTTGAAATGCCATAAGCCACTGTGAAATAAATTTTTTTAATTTTCTAATGCTGATAATCTGTGTATATGACAACCACCATATCCCATCGCTGTAACAAGTTTTTTATTCATATTAAAGTTGGAATAAAGTGTTTAATGCAGTTAATGGTTAGGGATAAAAATATTCACATTATAATCCTAAAGTCCTTCCTAAACATCGCTGTTTTATCCAGTCTGTTTACTGACACATTAAACAGTGCATAAACAGTACATCACTTGAGCATTTGTCCATATTTTGTTCCAGGTTGAGAAGTTTTTTAGTTAAAACGTTTCTACTTTGTTCTAAAAAAACTAAAAGATACACAGATGTTGTCATTCCTAAAACCTACAGATGCCAATACAGATAAAGACTGTTAGGGTTACATTTCTGTACTGTAATAGTTGGTGATTAACCTTAATCTGAGTTTTTAGTTTTATTACCACCTGCTGGGCATTTGGAGGCATTACAATGAATAGAAAAAAATAAAATAGAATAGAATAAACACGCATGCACAAAATTGTTTGGAATTTAATAAAAGAAAACCCCACATTCGTAACAGAAATAACTCTAATCTGACAAAATGAATAAATAAACATTCTATGAAAATGAACAAATGAAAGTCAGACATTGCTTTTTAACCATGCTTAAACAGAGTTAATTTCAAAATAAACTAATGAAACTGACCTGGACAAAAGGATATACCCCAAGAAAAGGCTGAAAATTACCAAAGGGACATGTTAAATCAAATTACCAAAGGGACATGTTAAATCAAGGTGTGTCCACTGATTACCACAACATGTGTTTACAATCTTGTAATCAGTCAGTGGGCCTGTATATAGGGGTACAGGTGTGTGTTACACTCAACATGGACCAGAGGAAGCAAAGGAAAGAGTTGTCTCAGAAGATTATGAAGGATATTATTGACCAACATCTTAAAGGTAAAGGCTATAAGACCTTATCAAAGCTGCTTGATGTTCCTGTGAGTGCAGTTGCACATATTTAGACATCAGAGACCCATTGGACTGTAACCAACCTCCCCCTACATGAATGCAGGAGGACAACTGATGATGAATTAAAGATAAATATACCATTGGATTAAAAAAAAGAGCCTAGGAAAACTTCTTAAGAGATTAAAGGCAAACTTCAAGATTAAGAAACATCAGTGTCAGATTGCACCATCCGTCATTGTTTGAGCCAAAGTAGACTTAATTGGAGATGACCAAGGAGGACACCATTGTTTGAAACAAACCCTAAATAAGCCAAACTATTTCACTAAAATACATGTTGACAAGCCACAAAGGAGTGTCTTTCCTATGGACGGATGAGAAAATTGTCCCTACAGTAAAACATGGAGGAAGCTGTTAGTTCAACGGCTGCTTTGCTTCATCTGGCACAGGGTATCTGATTCTCTGCGGGGTTCAATAAAAACTGAAGACTTAAAGCATTCTAGAAAGAAATGTCTCAGGTCATGGGTCTTCAACAGGATAATGACCCACAACACACAGCTAGAAACACCCAAGAATGGCTGAGAGTAAAACATTATACTCTGAAGTGGCCTTTATGAGCCCAAAGATAAATTCTATTAAGCATCTTTGGAAGGAGCTGAAATATGCCGTCTGGAAGAGGGAGCCTTCATATCTGATACATCTGGGGCAGTGGACCAAAACACCTGCAGAGAGGAGCAGATGTCTCGTTGACAGTTGCACAAATCACTTGATTGCAGTGATTGCTTCAAAATTGCAGCATTTAAATATTAAGTTAAGGGTACAATCATTTTTGTCCAGGTCTGTTTCAAGTTTCTTTCTTTTTTTTTTTTTTTTTTTTCAAATTCTGTTGAAGCATGGTTGAAAAGCAATGTCATGACTTTCATTTGTCTTCAAATGTTGATTCAAAGTACTGTATAACAGTAATGTAGGTGGAGTGTGATTTATTCCAAACTGAATCATTGATATATTAAAGTAAACAATAAGCATTTAGGTCAAAGTACAAAAACACTTAACAATTGATAAAACCAATTACTGTGGTTGTCGATTCTGTTTGCAATATGATTAAATTTGTGGTCAGAGGAGTGGTGGCCAAGTGGTTAGGGCTTAGAGCTTGGAAAAAAAAAAAAAAGGAATCCAGAGGTTCTGAGTGCGAGCCACACTCCCACAGACTGCCACTCGTGGTCTTTACCCAGAGTGGCAGCCATTGTACGCCCAATGCAGAGAGTTCATTTCTTTCTCTGTACTTGTGACAGTGTGATTACAATAAAAAACCTGGAAAATTTTTTTATTTAAAGACACTTTACCAATAGTATGGGTTGTGAGTCAACTCTGGTAAATGCTGAAAAGTTTGTGAACATCATTTGTATAAGGCCAAAGAAAACTTTCCTGATTAAAAATATTATATTATAGCCTACAAAATCCCTGGAAATACTGCTGTCTCAATAGGTATTTTTAATCCTCTGTATTTTCTCAAGTCAGTGGTTAGAATCACTTTCTATCAAGATATTTAACAGCACTTCACGCTTCCTCCTTCTAACCATCTTTAGCGAGATGCAGATTCAGCTTCCCAGCAGAACTTGGACATCTGCCCACACTGCCAAAGGCAACAAAACCTGGGTCAATGACCATGGTGTTACTGACCTCCCAGCAAACTGCCCTGGCCTCAAACTGGAGCTATGGAGTACTGCCAAGGGGAAGATGAGAGACTCCAGGGCAAAAAATATTGTTGACCTGAAGGTCAGTGTCAAAGCTGCTGTTGCCTACATCACACCTCAATAAAACCACACAGTGATTGCTTTTATGCAGGACAACGTTGATGCAGCAATACATGCAAACAAAGCCCTGACCAGGTTTGTGGTGCAAATACTTACAGTACAGGTGATGATGGTGCTCTATTGTTATTTTACTACTTTACTGAATACTGAATAAGACCACGTGGGAACGTTGTAGGTGAAATGAATAGCATGCAATAACTTCCAGTTACACATGCATTGTGCAACACAATTTCTAATTTGAACGTTAGCGTGTTTCCCCACAAGGGGGCGCTCAATGCTTTAGGTGTAGTTTCTTGCACTGGTTGAAAGAAATCTGGTTTTTGCTGACTAAGTCAGTTTCTGTGTCCCTATTTTGAGTTAGGTAGGTTAGGTATGTTATAACGGAAAGGTAGCAGTATTTATAATATTCATGTAATTATATTTATAGAATGGTTAGTCATATAATTAATAATAGTTAATTAGGTTTTCTAACATGAGGCTTGTAAAAGAAAAGTATTAAATGTAGATCTGCAAAATATGTTATATATATATAAAAGTTAACATTGAATACCTTACATATTAAATCTGCTTTAGCTTTTGTCAAATATACTGCCCAAGAGAATATCATGACTACCAACCCTTATTCTGAAGGTGTCTAAATGCAGAGCTGCAAGCAGTTTAAGCAAACATACTTTTCTCTCTACACAAGTTGATTACAAATATTTTTGGGAATTTCATTTTCTTTTCTATTAAACTATTAAATACACTTGATCCTTTTTCAGTATAGATAAACTGTTATAGATATTTGAAGTCTGCTATATGTCTGCACTGTATTTTCATGCATTATATATTTATCTACTGTTGATTGCTTTTAATTATCTTATCACAGATATATCATATTTAAACCAAATACTATGTTATCATGTTCATTATTTTTGTTGTAGTGATTAATGAGTCCA